CTGTCGCTATGAGGCCATGGAGCTTGCCTAAGGCTGTAGAGGTGGTGGGGTAGGTAACCTCATCGGCCAAATGTTCTCCAGGTGAGTTCAGTTAGCTTTTCTCATTGTCATCTTATTGAACTGTAGTTTCACAATCACAAATGACCATTTACAATGTCCCTCCAATGTCTCTTTCCCTAAAAAAAATCAAGGTGTGTGTTACCAGATGTCTTCTTTTGAGAGAACTTGTCTTTTTATTTTAGGAACCTATTTTACCCTACAGCACACTCCACTGGAGAGAAGATGCAGTTTTGCCACCAACACCACATTCTGGGATGTGTTTTGAAAAGGACTTCTGCTTCATTGATGTATATTGAGCCCTGTTTTGCTCTAGGTTCTTGACTCCTTTTCCACAAGCAGTGGCACCAAATGCCCACCATATTGGCAAGACCTACAGAGGTCTTGGTCTTTCTTAGCTAACATTGTTAGTCATACAATATGTGTGTGCGTGAAAGGGAAAGTGAGTGTGTGTGTGTGAGAGAGAATGAATTTACTGTGTTGTTCCGTGTATAAGACAATACTTGTCTCTACAATATTTAGATTAAAAATTGAGGTTCGTCTTATACATGGAAGCAAGGGGGCGGGATCAAAGCACTTTGATTCCTGCTTTCCCCCTCCACTTTCTCATAAGGAAAGTGCTTTCCCCCTCCACTTTCTTCCGAAGAAAGTGGAGGGGAAATCAAGAATCAAAGTGCTTTGATCCCTGCTCCCCCCCCTTTTGCTAAGCCCCAGGCTTAGGAGGGGACAAAAGGGATAACATTTTCTAATTTGGGGTTAGAAAAGTGGGGGTCATCTTATACACAGAAAAATACAGTAAGCTGTTCCGCCATGGTTGGGTAACTTCTTATTGAAAAATCTGGTCTCCGTAGTCCAGATATTAAAAAGGAAAGAAGCATGAGGCCTTTTCACCAGCTTTGGGAGTTCTTATTTCCTAGTCAAGAGCACTTTGGAAAAAAAAAATACAAATTTAGGATCACAGCTAGAAACCATTATTCTTTTCTAAAAATCAGTCATATTTCCCCTGTTTCAATAAAGGTGTATGTCATCCCTCTACAAAAATGAAGACTGGTCAGAAAAAATGGAGACGTTGGAAAAACTTCAGCGTGAAAAACTTGTCAAAGGCAAATGGGACTTTATAAAGGCAAAAAAGACTCTGCTGGTGGCGGCAAGGGATGACCATTACTCTCTGACTGATTTCTGGGCCTATTTTATTGTATATAAAATGCTGAAGGAGGTAGGTACAGAGTCGAGAATTACTGTCTGACTTAACTTCTGTGATACTGTGTATTCTGAACACCGAAAACTCTTTCAGTTTAAAGTAAAAAGTTAAGAGAAAAGCTACAGTTTAAAAAGCAAGCAAATTCAGATCACGGACAAAAAGCACATCCCTTCTTCCTCAAAGGTTGAGGAGATTAATGTACATCTCTTCCATCTTAACTTCTACCTGAAGATAAATTAACTACATACAGTGGTGTCCCTCATAGCGACGATAATCCGTTCCAGGAAATCATCGCTATCTGGAATCGTCGCTATACGGAACGAAAAAACCCATAGGGACGCATTAAACCCCGTTTAATGCGTTCCTATGAGGGGGAAACTCACCGCTAGGCGGAAATCCTCCATCCGCCATTTTCGCCGCCCGGTATGTGAGGAAACCACGCGAAAACGCTGCAGGCCATTTTGGAACCACCGATCAGCTGTTTTCTAAACATCACAATGTGATAATCAGTAAGCGAAACGCTTACCGATCATCGCGATGCGATTTTTAGCCATTAAAACCATCGCAATGCGATCGCTTTTGCGATTGCAAAATCCACATCGCTATGCGGATTCGTCATTAAACAGGGTGCTCGCTATGTGGGGCACCACTGTAATTCCCTTTGCCAACTCCCCTTCCTATATAGTACATCACTCGTGGTCTGGAAGAGTTGAAACGAAATATAGATTTTGGAGTGTTTTTATATGGGAAATGAATGGGAACAGCAACAACCTCCTCAGGTTATGCTGGGCCAACAATTGTACTGCAGAAAGCAAGAGGAAGACCACTGCAAATGTAGTCCCTCATTTGACCAGAAAACACTGGGATTTCTATGCAGGGTGCAAGTATTTATCTAGTTGCTTTCTCAATTCATCTGACAGAGCTGGTTTTTATCAATGTGGCCTGTGAGCGAAGAGCCATCTTGATGGATTGGGCAAGAAGTGGCCAAGAAAGGAATGTATAGAGTCTGTTGCATCTTGGCAGTGAGGCACCCTCCACCGCAAGCCCACAAGTCCATCTGGAGGAGATTGCTGACCCCTGGGCAGGTGTTTTCACACCCTGAAGAGGCTGGGTTCTTGATCTCCTCCAGCAGGGTTTGTCTGACAGGTCTCTCAGCCTTTGGCCACTAAGGGAAGAATATATATAAATAAGTCAGTAAGTAAATAAACAAATAATTAAAATGAAGTAAAACTGCTGGGACTAAAAAGAAATGCTTTGGCTTATGGCTCAGCCATTCATGCCCTATGAGATTCCTGAAAAGACAGCAGGCGATTAAACCACATGAAAGCATTCTGTGATTTTTCAGCTTGATGAAAGCAAATTGTCTGATCAAAGGAAGTCTTGTGAAAATGGAAAAAATCCTTATCCCATTTACGCTGCTGTAGACAAGCACACATACAGTCGTCATGAGGCAGGTGGTACCTTATGGGTTTTTTTCCTGTGCAGGACAACCACATCAGAGCTGTTCTATGCTCTTTGAATGCCCACTTGCTCATTTTAATCCAGGACACAAATTTATACTTCTTGAGCATTTCAGTCTTTCATTCCATATCATTCCCCTGCCCCATTTTTTTTCTCCTCAGGCAGTTGGTTTGAATTTACACCCCATAACACAGGAGTTCCTGGAATAGATGGCAGTCATAGCACAGGAGCATATGTAGACATGCAAGAACTTGGAAGCGTGTTTAGAGAAGGACAACTGAATGAAAAGAGAACAGAGAAAACGATTTGCTATCTTCAAGGTATGCCCTACAAATTTTGCGTGTTTAAATGCCAAATGTCAGCAGAACAAGATAGGTAGAATTTATGTGTTCTGGGGAAGCAGCCTTACAAAAAATCAGATTAGGGGTGTGAATGCACTTCATTCTCATCATGTTTCTCAACTTTGCACTGATGTTTTATTTAAGTCCTGCTTCCACACTGGATTACAAGATATTTTTTTTTGCTGCAGACAAACATTTGCATATTTTGTATATATTCTTTCAAAATGGAATGCACATTTTTATATATCCCCTGTTAGTTAAGCATCTCCATGTTCCTTCTGAAAATGTATGCCTTTTTAGTTGTGTATTTTAACCAAATGTACGCAAGCATTTTCCCCTTGGAATCACATCCCAAACTTTGCATAACATAGATTTCCAAGGCTGAGAGAGAGAGAGAGAGAGAGAGAGAGATGACAAAATAAAGGTGTATATGATTATTTTTATACTTCCTTCCTTGATGTTGAAGACCATCTGAACTATTGTGGAATGATGGGACACAAAAACAAAATGTCAATGTTTGATTTTATTGTCACAAAATGAAGCAGAAAACTATTAATGTAATTTCTTCCTTATTTTCAGGCTTATGGGGAAGTGCCCTTGCAAGTGAAAAAGAAATCAAGAAGGCTATAATTGGTATTAGTCTGTTTGTTTGTTTGTTTACCACCCATCTAGTGGCAAGCCAATACTCTGGGCAGTTCACAACAAAGAAGGAAATGTGGAGCAGAAGGAATCCTCAGAGCTTATCTCTCAGGGCACCTTACCCATATGCGCATGAAATGCACATCACAAAGAATTGCTCCATTGGCCTTTGTAACTTTACCTGCGGCTCTTGGTTCCAGACATCTTTCAGGGAGCACTATCTTTTGTTGATGAAACTGAATGACATTTGTATCTTACGAAAGACAGGTTGCTGTCATGATTAAGAGAATGAGCCAGAAACTGGGAAACTCTTAGTGCCAGTTGCTTCACCCTGCACTTACTGGGCCCTTAACTTACTTTTTTTGCCTCAACATCCCTCCTTCATCAGTGTTAATACAGATAGAATAAAAATATATAGAATCCTTCCCCCACATTTGTAGAAATATTTATTTCCTCTGATAATTAGGTGATACTGCAGGCACTTAAAGAAAAAAAATATGCCTTACCTTAAATATGAGCTGACCAATGTTTTTACTTTATTTTTATTTTAAAACAATAAGTGCTTTGCTGCCACATTACAGAGTAATGATGCTTCTTTCTGGTACTGTATCATCCTGGGAAAGACATTGTTACCATTCATTAAAAGATTTCACATCTTCTAATCTGTTTTGCATTAACCGCACAATAATTGTAAGCATTTTTCTTTAAAGAGGCTTTATTGGATTTTCTAAAACAAGACCGAGATGCATACTTTCCCTCTTCTTCAAAGGATTCAGGTAAATCATAGGAATATGATATTTTAACATATCCCTTCTCTCCTCCTATTTTCTGTCATTTTTGCTATGTACACTGGTTATCCTGACAAACAGTACCTACAGATGTTTTATATCTCTAGAAACTCCCTAGACTTCAGTAACTGAATGCGCATAGATGTTGTATGAGTTACAGACTCTTTTCCCCTTTCTTCATAAGCTACAATTGCATGGTGTTTGTGCATGGTGCGAATCTCAAGATTGGTGTTATGACAGAATTGTCTATAAAATGTTCTCCATT